TACTGTAAGTGCTATAGTGATCAAAATCACGGATGAAGTGTTACAAAGGGTTACTTGACATGCAAATTATAAAAATCTTAATCACATCGCATGATATATCCTCACTGTAAAATTAGTTTGGGTATGTAATGGAAGGGGCAATATCACCGACTTACTGGAAAACGAGAAACTGGATAACCCTCCGCCTATCATGCGAGATAGCTTTAACAGGAAGAATGAATGCGACTTTCGTTATCAGCATTTTAATCAACCTCAGTAGACTACTCAGGTAAATCAATGAATTTGACCATGCAGCGCTCACCTATCGTAATCCCACAATGTCGTATTGCGGATAACGGCAAAGATTTCAACTACTCCACTAAGAGTTATTGTAAATTTTGATTCCCTCACGTAGAATTTAGCTGTCGATTGAGCTTTTTATGCCCCTTTGGAAATACGTATTTAACCAAGTTCAAGTTAACAAAACTAAAATCGTTGAAGAAGCCAATCATTTTTTATAGGGAAGACTTCTATTTTCGATGAACATTGTAAAACCCCGATTTTTGAAACCTTTTTTTGGCAAAAAAGAGAACCCAATACATTACTTTACAGATTTTACGCCAACTTAGCAGTAATCGCTTTCTTACACGATATGATTATGATAAATCGATCTCAGGGATCTCTTTTTCGATTAGAATCTGCACTTCAAGCATTTGAATTCGCGTTTTCAACAACTGCCTTTGAAAGGATGTTAAATTTACAGCATGCCCTCTGGACATAACAGCTCTCACTCCCTCCTTTAAGATAAGATATCATAATGTACATGACGCTGCTATACTTGATCAAAAACTGTAATTCGAAAATCCCGACATCTATTATATATCATGGAATAAGACTGCAGCAGTTTCACTTAGTTTCCTGGAAGCTAAATCCAAAGGAAAACCTTCTATGAATTCAATTTTTAGGAAAGTAAACTAAACTACTAAACGAAACTAAGGTAAAATTGAGAGTTTTTTTACTATGAATCCGTTAAAACCGCAAAGCATGCTGAAATGCAATAATATGAAGGAGCTAAAGACCGTTATTATAATCCTACTTTTTCTTCAAACATTTTTAGTGAATGCTATCTCGGATTGGTATAGTTTAATTGAGTTTTCGTAACTTTTATCATAGTTCGAGTAAATTGGAATATCTCTTCGTTATAAGGGAAAGAAACATGAAGGCAAATATCATATTCATAACTCTTTAGGATGCATTAGCACCTGCTGCAACAATTCATTCCTCTGTTTTCTTCCCATTATATTTATATAGTGGCAGAAAATACACTACAAATAA